GATGCGGACATGAATTATGGTAACCTTGATTTCTTGATTTTAGACGCCTGTTTAAGGTGTAAAATTATTCTGTTTTAATATGTGACTTTTTCACGTCTTCGAGATAGAATGCGATAGCGGATAGTCGAATGGTGTCATTCCTTTCTTTTTCAGAATTTTAGTATCAGGAGAATGAAGCATCATAAATTCGTTACATTCCGCTTACTTATGGTGAAATGTGATGTTTCAAGTACGTCTGGCTTTCTTCGTTCGAAGACATGACTATAAAAAACATTGATAACTTGCTTGACATATTTTCTAGTTGATTTTTTATCTTGTTTTGAAAATGCCTTGCATACCCAGAGAAGTCTGTGTTCTGCCCCGTGGCACAAATTGTTTATCTCGTGTGCGGCGTGCCAAAGCCTTAGACATCCCGGAAGGAGGCTGAGGAAGTGACATGGGATGCTCGCTGCGATAGAGTTGAATGAAGACAACGCTAATTATGGTGTGAACACGATGCAATCAGCTTGATTGGCCTGTCGTCATATTATTGCAGGCGGGATATATTCAGTATTAGTTCAAAGATTTTTCTGAACCTTACTTTGCCATTCTGGCCGCTTACTGTATGTTCGTAACGTCACAAAAGAGTGCGAGTTCGGTGGCGATCAATGTGTGCTGCTTGATAACACCGCCGCCAGCATTTTAGCCTCACTAATTTAAAACCATGGATACTCCCTGGATTCGTTCGTGCCTCTTTCAAGTTTAGTAACGAAAAACGGCAAATAAATTACGTTACAACGAAGTACGAATATTGATAGACTTAGTTTCCTTTTAAGTTTACCTACTACCTTTATCCAGTTCACAGGTTCTACCATCTACAGCGTTTTCAGGTTCTATGGGAATGCTCCAGCTAAAACCGGTTTGTTGGGTTAGGCATAAGAACAGGCATGCCTTTGACAACGGGAATTGTGACCTTGTGAAACATGCGATGTTTATTTAGCAATTGCGTATAAAATTTTGTGATATCCAGGCCTAACTGGCACTAGTATTTATTTTCCAGTCATGTGTTGTGTACAACTTAAAAAAAAAAATCAGAAGCATTTGTCACCACGGAAGTTGAAGGCTCTCAATCGACTGTGCACTGCCCCGATATGAATTTCTAAACAATATACCTACGCTGATTTGCGGCTGTGGTTATTTAAGTTGGAAACCCTATATGCGCTGACCTAATTTTTCGTTAATGAAACGGGGGGGGGGTTTATTGAAAAAACACTGCTAATGTATGGACTACGGGAAGTGTTTGCGAAGGAAAAGTTTTTAAATAAAATCACAGACATGTCGATTCCCCTATATTCGCGAAGGAAGCTGCATGATGTAGTTCGTTCAGTTAGAACGAACTGTGTTGCACTGGATAGCAAACAAACGTATTTTTCTTTCCACTGATATTTCTTGCCTCAATGTATTCGACGGTTGGTAAAAATAACTTCGAATATGGGCTACAATTTAAGCTTTTCTGACATTCGTAGAGTGTGATTTATCTGAAATTCGTATAAACATATATCTAAAAACTTGAAATCATGATATAATTTATACTTGGCATTTTGTGTGAGCATATATATATATATAATGTACTAATCAATTCAAGAATGTTGGGTCAATTTTTTAAGTGGAGATCAATTATGCAAAGCTACAGGAAGTTTGTCATCATGTGAACTTTAAAAGCGATTAAAAATGCATGAGACGCTGGCACGCATGCCAAAACTAATCATGCCCTATGGATATCAATACCATATTGTTTTAAAATTAAACGTCAAACAATTCCACGAAGAAAGAAGTCAAATATCGACCCGCATTTGTGACCTAGACCGCTCTGATGACCTTGGTAACGACATCTAACTGAGTCCCTGTTGCAAACAGCAGTAAGAAAATTGTTAGAGATGACCTAGCAAGTCCAGTCGATTGACGATCAATTCTTGGAAGTTCGCGTCTCTTCCTGCATAAAGCGCCGTCCCAGCACCACCGCCTTTTGAAGCGCTCAGGTCAAATGCATCTGTTTAAATATTATTTGAAGTCGGCTAAAATCACGTGAAATGGCCATTAACACTCTGCAAGGTTGGATAATTTTTATTTGAAAAGATTTGTTGCTAAACATCTCGATTCTTAAAGGATAGTCTTAAATTTATGTACACTCGATTTATATTTAGATTCTGGTGAAGTATGCTCAACGTATAGAATGTTGTATAACTCAAGTTAAAATGCGTTGTTCGCTATTAAATTCGGTGTCCGGCGACGCAAATAAGCTTGCATGACTACACACACAGACTACATCGGCCACTCGAAAGCGCGTCTCAGATAATTTGAATGATGTATTTCATCAAGTTCAAAGTTGCCTCAAGTTTAAAGTACCTTTGTGTCTTAGAGCCGATACAAAATTTATAAAGTTAAGTTTTAACTTGCTACGGAGCATGCTGTCGAGACGCATTTTAAAAATGCCCTAAGCCTAACTGAAAATTATGGCTGATGTTTAAATTCTTTGGAGGCAACAAACTGTTTGCCAGATTAATGTGACCTTGATAATTAATATCTCTCTGCCACTTCACTATAATGCTGCTTGCGTTTTTGACATGAAAATTAGGTAGGGAAAGCAGTTTGTTTTAATTTCTTTTACAGTCCTCTCTATCAATTGCTATGCTCCTCGTAACCGTAGCGCTAAAGTGCAGTTCATATCTTTGATTGCGCGCTGTTTTGCAAGGGTTAGATAGTTATTGAAACAGCTTTGTTTTAAATTTCATGCCGTATTAAGAATCATCTCATTGTAACGTCAGTTTGTTGTAGCGTCATAGACTAAGCAGTCTTCAAATACTTCCTGGACTTGGGGAATAGCGATAGTCCTGCAGAGCGCTGCTGGGGTCACTGGATGTCCGTTGTCCCGTTATGAGTTCATGGAGGATATTTGGAGGTATCCCAGGGACGTCCAGTAACGGCGCCTCTGTCCTTATCTCTGTCCGTTCTTTCTTGTGTTCAGGCATTAGTTTTTTCTCTGCTCATGAAAGAGCAGTCACCGTTACACGACTTCCGCAGGACATTTCCTGCTTCTCTGATGATTACAGATGTCTTCGTTCATCTTTTATCCTCATTGCGAAAGTATAAATAATCTTCATCGTCCATAGGAAGATGGAAATATAAGATATCGTCATATACCCGTTTAATCCATTTATGCAATTATATGAGCACTGAAACTATATCTGCTACTATTTTTGTAGCCAGCAATGTTAGCATGAGCATTTTATTACTTCTATTCATAATATTAGGTTTTGTAGTTCTTGATTACGTAATTCCCATATATTTCTTACTGAAATACAATACTTCCTCTCTTGATTGAGAAACGTGTGGTGCAGAGTAATATGAAAATTTTGAGTGCTACATTTTTGGCTAAGGAAGCACCTAATTTTCCTATGTTCTTCCTCGATTCCATCATCTCTGACAGCATCGACTAATGGTTACTATCGTTGAATTTAGCTTGGTTTCGACTCCCTCACCATGGCTCGATTTATCGTTGCGTCTTCACTTCAGTAAGATTGTTGGCTAATGCATTGTGTCTATATTTCAGTTACCGGTACTTGCTGCTATTTTCATTGTGTCCATACTCTTACATCTAGCTGATCTATTCATCGTGTCTATTGCTCCCGTATTTCGCTGATCTATTCATCGTGTCAATACTCCTGCGTAGTCCTGCACCGTCCATGCATCGCGTCAATACTCCCGTACCGTCGATGGCGGATTCATTGCACCTGTACCACCGTACCTCGCTGGCTTATTCATTGAGTCAATACTCCAGCCCTACCGTCACTGGCTTATTCATCGTGTACCATCCCTGTCTTCTTCGTTGTGCCATGTACAACCACACCATCGTTATCTTGCTTGTTTCTTCTCTACAGCCATACTATAACTGTTAACTTCGCTGCGCCGCTACAGCTATATCCTGATGTGTATGCACACCTTTCTACCTTGTAGGACCCCTAAGCCTCGTGCTTGCGTGTCTGTAGATACGTGCACAGTAAAGGGCGTCGGACGTTACAAGCGTGTGCTCTTCCGCGTGGCCAGGCGCACCGCTTAACGCTTTGTCTTCTGTGTTGCTTATGCGCGCACCGCCCAGAAACGCTAGTTCCTGCGTCTCGGTTCAGATCTTCAAGTAATTATGGCGCGTTTCAACGTTCTATTCAATGTTCAAATAGTAACGTGGTAAAATCTGAAGCGCGCAAATTTGGTCTGTGCGGATTTATTGTTCGTACTTTTATACTTGGATGGGATCTGTTATATGAAGGCATTTCGCCTCTCAGTAATCACGTATAGAAAGAGGTAGATTGCGCATGATCCCTAAAATTAGACGCATGAGTAATGTGTCTGTGCGGATGCAATATGTGACGCCGCGCATCCTGGCTCGATTATCCGGCGACGCTTGGTCGTGAGAAAGAAAGATGAAATCTTTAAGGTTTCCAAGCCCTCCTATAGACCTTACCGTTACGGACTAACTTGATACTAGGATGTGACTGTCCAAAGTTTCTACTTACTGCATTCTTCCTACTTACATATTTTATTGGCACAGTTTAAATTGAATAAAGTAATTTGAAAGCACAGTAGATTTTAATAGCGTTGGACTCTAAGAGAGTTGAGGCTCACATCTCGTTAGCTTGGTGCACGAAAATAGCATAACATCCCTGCAAGCAATTATCGTGGTTATTTTGGGCACCTTACGTAATATGTCATATTGTCGCAATGGAATATTACAGGGTGGATGTATTGCTTTTGCTAAACAGTATCACCTTATCACTGCCAAAAACTCGTCTACAAAAGTTACTTGGTTTTATTCGGGAAAATTACTGTTTATGTTGGAGGGAAGCTTTGAAAGTTTTGTGCTGTGGCCGTGTGACGGAGCAAGGAGATGGTTATTTTTGTGTTGGTTTCGTGATTGCCTTTTGTGTATATGTGACAGTGTTTTTACTCGTTTTTTATTCTTTCCAGATTTTAATTACTTTGGATGACCATTCATATATATAAGATCTCGAATGGAGTGACATGTACAGTTATAGTTAAACCACTTCTTCATTCTTATGTCAATAATTAAGTTTTTTATTTGAATGTGTCAAACAATAAGAGTGACAGTGCTCCTTGTTACTACTGCCTCTCCGAATTCTCTACCGCCACTTTACGGACCAAGAGACCTTACCTTACGGAACTTACCGCGAATTTGATACAACTGCATTATACATCTTTCACTCTGTATCTACTAAGTCCTCTTCTTTATTACCTTTCTCGGAAATTTGTGTACCACAAATGAGATGTCCAACCCCGAGCCGATTCCACGCACCCTCCCAAGCACACATCTCACCAGACACTCTCACTCTCGTGGTGACGTGAGCGCCAGCAGATGTCATGCCTCTCCTAGCCGATCACTCCCGAATACTCCTCGACCAGAGGTCCCATTGTCCGCTGTTGTTCTGACCACCCCTCTCACTGCATTTCCAGCTTCTCCTTGCTCTGAGGTTATTTCCTCACCTCGTGCCGGACACAACTTATCCCCGCGTGTTGGGTTCCCCGTGTCGTTTTTGTCCGGAGCATCTTCCTCCCCTCGCACTTCTGTTCCTTCATCCCCCCGTATCCCCAACCACAGCGAGAGGACCACTAATGCTTCGTCACGGGGGGCGGTGACCGTAAGTTCGCTGTACTCGACAGCGCAATGCATTCTGTCCATGGTGGGCTCCATAGGCGTCATCTTGCTGTTTGCTGGCATTCCCCAGCTCATATACTCGCCGTCAGTGCAGCTCAACAACCTCATGACGTTCCTCCTCGGCGCCAGCCTCATCACTGCCATGGTCGCCGGCAACGCGTTCGTCAACTACAAGTACCGCCAGTACCTCCATCGTAACCCGGTGAGCTATAATTATCATTCTTTTAGACGAGTGTTATCAGGAACAATACGAACTAATTGTCTCCCTTAAACTACTTTCAGTCAATATTTTTTAATTTACTCGTTGCGATAACCTGCTTTTGGAATTTGAAATCTCGCGTAAAACGTCAGCCTATTCTAAACTGTACAAAAATGCAATGCGAATCATCCTTTAACATCTTGTTTACTTATTTAATCTGGATGTTCTGATCATAAATTGACACACACGCAAAAAGCAAGATAATGTTATCTTTCTTGTTCGCATCCAACAACCGGCAATGCAAGGCTTTGTTAGGCATCATTAAGCACAGGATATGCTAGTTTTTTGTGTGTGCTATTTCGTGCACCTGCCTGCTGTGGCTGGCTTCGCGGGCACGTGTTGTGTTCTTAAATGCTTAGGTTATCAAGTCACGATTGAGACGGCACAGATTTTTATTGTGTTGCTTAGATTATGGTATAATTCTCGTGTTGATTCATTATTAGCTATTTATCCATTCACGCAAAGGATTAGTGCGTTAGCGGATTGAAAAAATCGTTGTAAAGATATCGGGCATAACTAGTTTGATCCGCTCAGCAACTTCAGTTGACTCGACATTTCCAGACAGAAGAGCCACCTTGGAGTTTTTTTGTGATCAATATTGTAACATCCTATAGATTTGCTCGACCTATATTCTTTGTTTGGCTGGTAGTATCGTATATTTTGTTAGGCTTACAAACGCTGCAGTAGGGTACAAAATGCAGCAAGTCCCTCACTAGCTTAGCCCTCTACCGCCGTATGTCACTCACTCTCCGGGAAGATAACTTTCAACTTGAATTACACGTAAACTATTGAGTATAGCAAACTGAAGACGTTTGTACGCAAAAGAGAACATTTTAAAGTTATCGTAAGTGACGGCAACCATCAGTAAAAGTCATTTTGCGCTCACTAGAACGTATCCTTTTTGGGAAGTAGGCTTGTGACAATTTTGCTCCGGTTACTCATGTCAGGCGGTAGAGGGTTGAGTGAGGGACTGCGCCACCACATCAAAGTGCAGGGGCAAGGCGCTGATTGATCCCAGGCGCACTGTAGCACGCTGCAGTCAAAAACCTGCTGAACTCGGATCTTGCAGGTGCATGAAGTTTACTGGACGCACACACATTATCTCCATCGCACTTGGAGGTCGTCCCTTACATCCATTGCTTTATATATCTCGCTCGCTAGCATACGGCTTGTGAGTGCATAACGGTCAGAAGCAGATTACAGAAATAACAATTTTAGTTGATGGCTAGTAAAAGGAGCTCAGGCTTCACTATTGGTGATGAAATGGGGATAAAAGGTAATTAGTGGGTCATATACTTTTTTAATCATGGGCCGCTGAAATCCGTTTTAACGTGTGTGAGATAGTGTCGCAAAAATTGACAATCGAAAGAATAAAATGCGGAACATGAACAGGAGGTCTCTAAAGTGGGCTTGCAAAAATTTCTTATTAATGGGGGAGGTATAAATTGTTACTCTTTAAACTAGCTTCATTTGAACACAGATGTGCTGAAAAAAAAATTTTTTTTGCTTCAAATTTGTCGTGGATTTGGTCGGCAAATTTGTTGTGGATTTGGTCTTTTATCATGTCGTTGAAATATTTGTGTTTGAAATTGCAATTTGCTACTTTTTCAATGGCATGTTAAGATTGGCCTTATGTATTGCGGATACCTTTTTTATCACAGACATCTCCCCTTCCTGTATGAAATTGGCTTTTAAGAATTTAAATTGTGTAGCAGTGTAATAAAAGCACGAACTTCAAACGAATTGTAGCTTTCTGTCCCTCGACGGTTAGTGGCAGTTTGCGACGTTATTCTAGGAGCGTTCGGATGAGGCCGAAAGCCCGTCTGCAATACTAATGCTTTAATTTGTGGAGCATGCGATTAAAATATGTATTATCATCAGGCCTTGAACGGTCATCTCCCTTCCGTGTTATTTACAGTTTATGTAAATGGCGTGAAGATGGCATTGGGGGTTTGTTTACTACATGACGGAGAATAGTTAGAGAAATCGTCTGGAAGTCGAACTCGTTACAAATATTAAGGGCTAAGTTCTGGAAGCATCTTGACATCAATTTATGCGTGGGAGAGATTCAGGACTGCGTTGTTGGAGTATATGTTGACTTCATGCCGCGGACATTGAGAGCTGCGTTGTTGGAGCATGTTGACTTCATGCCGCGGACATTGAGAGCTGCGTTGTTGGAGCATGTTGACTTCATGCCGCGGACATTGAGAGCTGCGTTGTAGGAGCATGTTGACTTCATGCCGCGGACGTTGAGAGCTGCGTAGTGGTAGCATGTTGACTTAATGCCGCGGACATTGAGAGCTGCGTTGTTGGAGTATGTTGATTTCATGAGCGAAAATTGAGCGCTGTGATCGGCTTGGGTACGTTAACGGTGGCATCTGAATACATTGTCTCACTTCTGAGTGATTGGCAGTACCGGTATTCGATTAAATTTACTTTTAAGGGGGGCGAAATTCCTAATTAGGCGTAAAGCGTTATGCATGCAAATATTATTTTTGTCTGTTTGTTTCATAAAATCGGGAAGCGATTATATTGTAGCCTGAAACTGCTTTAGTGATTCGATTTGATTCTCTCTCTCTCTCTCTTTTGCTCATTTAATTCTCTTCAATTTCTTTGTTTTCCTAGTTTCACTTTGGTCTCTTGAGACTCATAGTCGCAGTTCTTTGTGAAGACGCTGCAGCCGGAACTAATACGACTATTTAATAGTCAATGCAAAATAATTTAAGCATTTAAAGCCTAAGGCTTATTACGTTTAAACAATTGATGTCAACGATAGTGAAGTTTTTTGGCATTTTTTTTCAAGAATACAGTGATTGTAAAAGTTGAGACTTTTTTTTGCATTGTTATTATCCAGGTTCGATAGCCATGCATCGGACAGTTTCACGGGTTTCCTAGTGTGCTCACTCTTATATTTATGCTGCAAATTTTTCGCGATGATACGAGGTTACGTGTTTAGACTAGATAGCATGTGATATTTGACCAATTAATGATGATAATTTACCTTTGATATTAGCCTTATAGTGATATCGTAAACAATTTCAATATTTTATTCAATGGATCGTACCATATTAAAAAAGTATTCAATATTCAAATGCTTTGAAATTATTAACCTAAAGTATCCAGTTTGTAATAATGATGGAAAATTTTTAGATGCTGGTATGAGATCGCTATGCACACCACAGCCTCGCTTCGGAAGTTGGGAGTATTCAAGTTTTAATTGGTGATCATTTCAGGGAGAATATCGCGAGCAATAGCATCTGAATCGAATACTACTGAAGCACGCAGCTGAAGGCAGCGCTTTCAAGTTCATAAATTTTTTTATGACATATTGTTGATGGAACGATATGTTCCTTCGATCTCATATATATAGATAACATGGTTAGTTTTTTAGTAAAAGCTGCAAAAGTCAAATCTTAGGTCATATAAATATTTGTATCGAATGCGAAGCTTATATACGAGTAAACTACGATCTTGAAATACTTTAATCGACAGTCTAAAATACCCGGATAATGCGAGGTTAAAAAGTCTAAGCTAGAATTCTTTCTAAAAATCTAATTGGTATGGATGGCGTGGTAGTATATGGAATAACAATAGATAGCGAGGAATTCTGAAGTATACTTCTCATGTCATCTCTCACATGAGGTGTCGCAAGTGTTGCAGCTGCTCCCTGCACGACTCCCTGAGCTTCGACCGACTCCGATAGTCATCTTTCTCGCTTAACATTCCTCGTTGCCCAATAAACGGGCTGCGGGAGCGGTGTACTTGAACCGATAGTGGATACTATGAAGATGACATTCGTCATCTTGCCGAAAAATACTTCTATCTTATTTGATATGCAGCTTAGTTGTTCGTGCAAATTACTGCCTGGTGCGCTTAATCTTGCATGAATTAAGTGGGTAATTCTTGCAGTAGATCTCCGCTTCACCTTGTTGTTTTCTGTCACAGCCTGCGTGCGGCGAGTTGAAATTTGACGCAGTAGTGCTGAGTTAATATTGTACAAGATATTTATGTATAAACTAAGCGTGCGTGCCCGCGTTACGAACAATGAAATTTAAACTTTACACAATCGTTGCCATAACGCCACTTCAGTTATGATCTTCCATAGCTTTTGCTTTTGACTTTTTTGTTATCTCATATTTGGATTAGAACAGATTACACTTTCATTAGAATGTCTCTATTCGGTGTCTTACCTGCATCTTTTTCTGAGACCTGCTATTGTTTTCCAGGTTTTGAAACGAAATAAACTACATGTTTTTTGAACTCCCTTCTTCAGTAATTCTACCCGAAGATAACTTCGACACATCCAATGACATCGTAGATAACTGTTGTAATTTATATTCTTTCCTCTGCGCCGCATCCAGCATCGCCGAAATGGGCAAAGATTTCCCTTGGCACGAGAAGAGCACATGTCATTGTTGACCTTGAGAACAGCTGTTTATTCTGTCGCGTGAAAGATTCGTTCGCAAACGGTATATCTGCTTTCAAATGTTACCTTATAGCGGTGACTGCAAACGGTACATTAGAGCAAGAGTTAGTTGTAGCGAGGAGTTCTGGCGTGAGCTGTGCTGTATTGTTGCCTTACGCAATCCCAGAGCCGTGCTTGTGGTCGCCAGCGGAACGTTGTCAAGGTTGTTGTGAGGGTGAGGTCTGTAAGGCCGGGGGTCATCCCATCTCAGCGTGCATCACAGATGTCATACTTCGAGGCCATGGGTGAAGCTGTAGTAGCTGTAGTCTGACCTCAATATTCTACAAGCAATGATACCGAGCTTAATTGATCCAGGTATTTAGAGCATAAATTAATATGAGACCAAATACGTCTCGTGCAAAAACTGCTTGTGCAACAGAAGCTCTCACGCTGATTATTTGACTGTATGAGGCAATAATTCCCCTCGCTCATCTTTGTCTTTGTCGCTGAGTGGATCTTTGGCAATCAAGCAATCACG